GTTTCTAAGAATGAATAAAAGTGAACTGCTATCTTGGTTTTTCCAAAACAGCAGTATTTAGCAACAAATTGAGACGTGAATGTCAACAATTTTTGTGATCGTAGAAAATGCCAAGAAACCTATATTAAGAAAGTGATTTCTTACAAGTGTAGTGTTAAGGAAGTGCAATAACAACATATGTAGGATATAGAGGAAGGTATGTAGAGTAATTTGGCACCTCGTTTCTTTCACTTTTTTGTGTGGTTTTGATAAAATAACAATTTGAATATAGTGTTTCCTTTTTCGTAAAATCAAGTATAAAAACATTGAATTACTTTTTTGCACCCCAACGCACCCCTTTACTTTTGTTATATTTTTATCCTTGGACATTGCTTTATGTATTTCTTTGAAAATTAGGTGGTAAGAGGTGCTAAAACTACAGTTCTGTTCGAAAATATCGCCTCACTTGTGTACTAGTGAAAAATTATTGAGATTCAATGTTCCATAACTTTGTTAATATTTGTCAGAATTTGTTTAAATAGTAGGAAAATTAAAGCTTGAACCTTCTACTTTTTAACCCTTTTGTTCGATTTTATTTAACTCGGTGGACAAGAGGTAAAATCTTCGCTTATAAAGAGGACCTTCAAATAATAAAATTTTGTTCATATTTGAGAACGGATGTTCCTCATAGACAACAGTGTTCGAAATTTTGCATGTATTTCAGAAGTAATGATTCTTTGCCTTCAAAACAAGCTAAACTGCATCCAAAACGGATGTTTTTTAACGAAGTTATAGTCATTTACAGAAACGCAGACCATTGAACGGTGCCATGCACGAAAGACATGAAACCATAAAGAGGCAGGCGTTTCTGTAAATGGCTATAATTTCGTTAAAAAATATCAGTTTTGGATGCAGTTTAGCTTGAATTGAAGGCAAAGGATCATACGGTAGGCGTATATTGTATGGTTGATCTGATGATGGTAGGTAACTGAGGTGTGGATGATAGATCGATGAAGGACAGATATATCATAAGCAAGAAACTATCTGATAAAGAATATTGCACATCATTTTCTGACGAAAATTAATTCTATGATATATTGTAAATAAAAAATATTCTTAAAATATATATGATTTTATATATTATATACCATAAACCAGAATGGTTATGATTCTAGATACAATCGACCCGCGTGCATCCATCGCTGTCAGTTGATTGTTAACCTATTGTAAATTTCGTCTGTCAATTCCTAACGATTGAAGTTTTTAGTATGTTATTAATTTTATTAGGACTAGGGTTCGTTGATGACCTTCTATTATATGTATATATTGTACCATATGTATATGTATAAATATCTTACCATACACAAAACATTTGAAAAATATAGGTTTCCTTTAAAGGGCTGTATCTTTGTTACACAACGTAGTTTTTCGATGAGGTTTGGTTTATTTTAAAGACAAACGATCGTACTTTCCGTTGGTATGTATCAAAATTGCAAAAAAATATTGTTTGCACTCCGTAGCAGTTGACGAACATCAAGGAAAAGTACAGTTTGGCACACTCCTACTGAAGGGTGAATTTTACCCTCTAGATAGCCATTTTAATAAAATTTATTCAAAGAACCAAAAACTAGAAAGTTGAAACTTTAAAATGGTTTTTGTTTCATCAACTTTGGATGAATAGTAACAAAGTTATGAGATTTTGAAGATTGAGTAAATTTTAAAATAGTTTTGGCCAGCTTTTCGGGTCAAATACCCCACTGTTCGACGTCTGGCAGTCTAAGCGCGTGACCAACATTGAGGAGATCCCGTTCGTTTCCCACTGTGGCAGTTTTACTTTTTATTTATAATTATTTTATAATTTCACTTTTTAACCTCTGAGTATAATACAAACTTCAAAAATATTCATTTGTGAGGCATTTGAAAGGAAGGAGATGAATTTTTTCCTCTTCAATATTTAAATTTTTTATTATATACATACATATTATGTTATATATACAAAAATTATTCTAACAATGAGATGTTACCGTTATTGTAACTATTGCATTATATTAAAATGTTACGTTATAAATATATCTTCATTTGTTTTAAAGGGTATAGGTAGTAGATCATAGTGGGGTACCAAATTTCATGATTCTGGCATCACTGCTTCACGGTTTACTGACTGAAATTTTTATAAACATCATCGTTTATGACTTTGTTGTCGGTAGAGTGAAATCCATCGATTCCTTGACCAAAAGCTGATTGCCTATTGCCTACTTCGTGGGTGTTGACGCCTTCACTACTTATAGAGAGGGTAACGTCTAAAAAGGAAAAGTTCACCCCCATAATTCAGGGAGGATGGCCCTAAAGTGACCGCGTGACTTCTTATGGTTCTTAAGCTTGCTACGGGTATAACAATTAAGTCGTCGATTTAAGCTGATAAAGTTTAGCTTGTACGATAAAACGTGTTCTGGCATATACAAATGTCCGCCTATTTCCTTAATTTAGAAGTATTTAAAGTTTCTTTTTACCCGTTCTATAAATTTTGTAAATCACTTCTGTTATCATGTCTTAACCAGGAATCATAGGTACACTTCTAAGGCCCTTTTATCATCAAATGAACGATAATATTCAAATTACTTACAATCTTTGGAAGCAACCGGTGAAGCGTTTTGAAGTAATTGTCGATTCGAAGAAAGCAATGATCGTGTTCGCGAGATTTTAATTAAAGAGCTTGAAAAGTGAGCACAACATCAGCCTGATTTTCAACAAAGAGTCCAAGGACTCCGAGGCAATGACAGAGACTACGGTTCAGCAAAAGGGTGTGGGAAACAGAGAGGGTTGATTCGGGTTCTGTGAAGCAAAGGCGAGCCTTCCAACATCATAAGGGTCTTTCCCATAGTACTGCTTTCACCCCTACCCCTTCTACAATCGTGCCTTCGTCGGGTTCCATTCGCATTGCAAACCTGTCAAAGACGATAGATGCTATGTTACGTCATCGGTTACGAATCAAAATCTTATTAACCATTGAAAATGAGTTTTATTTTAAGATGCAATTTAATTATATTCATGACTGCTGGGCTACTTAGCTGTCCTCCTTTCTATCTTAGGGTAACTTGATTCATCTAACTCTTTTCTCACCCCATTTTTTGCCACTCCACTCTGTTACTTGCACCTTCTTTCCTTTACTTTTACATCTGTTATATTAATTTCACACGACTATTTCTCTCTTAACCTCAAACGTTAAACGTTCGATTGGCATACTAATTGTAAGACTTAAGGTCTTCACTTTTTATACGACTATCTTTTTTAAAGTCAGAGGTTCTTTCGACGAAGATTACTGCCCTTCCTATCCAATTTAAACTTCTTCCGATTTATTTCTTCCTTTTCGTGGATCTGTTTATCGTTTCACAAGACCTTATCGTTGAATTGTGATGTTCGTTTCTACATCCTCATAAGTACAAAGAGTGGAAAAAGCAGTTACGTTTTTTGCTCCCCGTTATAATGATAGTTTAATAAACGTGCAAACCAAAAACAGGTCCGAGGTTATTGCTTTTTTTTTCAAGGCAAAATGTTGTGGATAATATTTGATTTTATTTAACATTCAAAATGGATACATAGGAATGATATGAAGTGTAAACTTTGTGGCTTATAATTGGTATACATATGTATAACATATAACAAAATGTATTGCAGCGTACGTTATGCGAAGTCATCAAAATTAATGAAATTGCTCGCAAATACATATTATAGCCAACTCCATTGCCGTATGAGTACTTCAATTGATCTTCGGCATTATTTGCAAAATACTTCATACTAAATATGCAAATAAATAGTAACGTAGTTAGTAGTTTTTTAATTTTTATGACCGATGAAAGCAGATTTCTAAAATTTCAGTACATTGCATTATGTTTTTCTAGTACTTATTACAGGTTTCAATTCACAATGTTGTTGTTGTTAATTAATAAAATAATCATCGAAGTTGAGAGTAACTTTCAATTATTTCCACTATGCCATTTATTTTTGCGTAAATTATTTCATTGAGGTTACATATTTTTTAACAAAGAAAGTAACTGAAACAATGAACTACCATGAATCATCTGTAATGTGATTCCAAAATGTGCCTTTGAATTGTCAATTGTGCATGATTGAACGATAATGATTAAAAATGTATATTACCTTTATGTTTCAAATCATGTACATTATGTCCAATGTATGTATATACACGGTATTACTTCTCTAACTATTGAAAATGCGACAAAATTTATATTTTTGGGGCCGCCTTGCGTCACAGATCTTATGCCCCGAGTTGAATATTTTCAGAACACATATATCTGAAACATGATACTAAGTATGCTTGTACAAATAATATTTGATAATGAATACCTACATACATATTTATTTATTATGTGTATTTTATATTACGTATATTTTATATAGTTTATACATATGTTTGTTTATATGGTTTATGTTTTAAAAAATAAAATTCTACACAAGTAGGTGTCGATACTTTCGTTTCGACATCGAGTAAATATCGATACCTTCATACAATATCAGAAATTAATAAAAGTATCGATACCTTGGCGGTATCGATTTAACCCTAATTGTACCTTTTCCCTTGCTTTTTTTAATTCTTCCGAAAAATATTCGTGACTCGTTCTGCGTTTCGATAATTAGAATTTTGAATGACTGGGGTTTCAGATAATCGACATTCCGATAATCGGTTATCCACTGTATGTAATTATAGTGGAAAATGATCTAATTGCAAGGGGAAAAGTTTATGAAAAAATTGTCTACTTACGTACGTTATTGTATGTCTAATTGGGTACTTATTACTTTACATTATTTTAAATATGCTAGATACCGCGGTCTGTATAATTATACGTGTATTTAATTCCACCTTGGATATGTACAGTCGCTACTACGTACGTAAATAATATCGTAGAAATATTAATTTAAAAGAAAATTGTTTCACGCGAGCGATAGATTCTATAAATTAGTAGAATATTCAAAAATATAGAAGTAAAGCCTTGATTACTCACCTCTGCTACTGCCGTCGGGTCCTCGGAGGATGGTACACTCCTCTATTGTGCCAAAGGCATTGAATAATTTTCTGACATCGTCTTCAGTTTGTTGCTTGCTGAGCATTCCCACGAATAGCTTTCTGTCTGTGGGTCGTCCGCGTGTTGAAATAAAGGGAACAGAGAAAAAAACAAAAAGAGATGTATTAGTTTTTGATGTAGAAATGGCGAGATTTCGCTTATAGCGCTTATTAGGCATTAAAAGAGATTTTGCGGCTAACACCGAGAACAACAAAGTTACACGGTTACACCAGCATCCATCATCCTAAAGGGAAGGAGGTAAGGATATGAATATACATATATACGTATATCTACATATTTTTGAATGCTACATATTTTTGAAAAATATATATATATATATATGTTTATGTAGTATGCAAGTTAACACGGACACGCAGCCTGCATGGCCGTACCTTCAAATTGCATTTTAACTGGACTTTGGAACTGCGTACATGTATATATGTATGCATACATTGATACGTTTACAATATTCGATATAAAATTGACGTAAAATTACAAGAAAAACAAAAATACCATTTGTAATACTGATATTGGTAATATAAATATAACACGACGTACACGTGTGACGATAACGATAATATATTTCAGTAGGAAGTAGAAGGCAGTAAAATAACCATAACAAAAGAAATTAAGATAATCCAATCAATGTCAATCCTACATCCTACGCCACAAGCCGAAGAAACAGATGGAGACAAAACGGTATTCCCGTAAAAATCAGATGGGGCGTACAAGCGACTCAACTACGAGCGGAAATCTCGACGATAATGTCATCTATGTATTCTATGATTCGAGCTTCAAGTGTCCAAATTATTGTTTTATGTTTATCTTTTAGAAATATTTTATGTTCTTACATGATTGTATGTAATTTATTTTCAACACTCATAGTTAGTGTTTTTACAATGTAATAGAAGACACTATACTTACAGACGACATTACCAGTAAATGTGCTGCGTGGTGCTGAGGTCAGTATATCGCTTATAAAGGGTCACACGCACTTAATGATTTTTGCTTCGACCAATCTGCAGCTATTTCTAACTTCTGTACCAGAAAGGAACCAGTTTATATTTACACTGTTATTTTGCAAAAAAATTGAGATCTGATTATGTCTCCATGTTTTGTTATTATTCATTATATGAACGCGTTGATTTACTGCAAAATAGGGTATTAAAATTTGAAAACGTGCTCTCTTCGTTTTAGAGTGAATGGAGAAAGAAAACAAAAATATAAATATAATTATTTTTAAAAAATCATACACAGATTCGATAGTGTTATTTAAAATTATATTCAAGATATTTGTTTCCAATTTCATCGTTACAAATTTATTGTCTGGAGTCAATGTCTCTGAAAATAGACGAAGGTAAATGTTTCTTAGAAATATCTGCACTGGATGTGTATCCTGCGTGTACGTGTACCCCTGTATAATATCGATAATAAATGGTGGTGGGTGTGCGAGGTCGACTGGGACTACGTGATAAAAGATGTGGCCAATAGGAATGTGTAGAATGGTCTATCGTCGAGGAACTGGTAGGACGGAGGGGGAGGGAAGCTCAAAAAAGTATTTATATAGAATTATATCTAAGTAATAGAATAAGATAAACGTAGCTGACATCATAAACAGGAAATTTTTACAAAGGTGATAAAAAAACACATCGACAACGAACGAGACAACACATCCAACGAGCGAGCCACTATCTTATGGTCATAGCTGTAAAGAGCGGTATAGTATGTATATATGTGTATGTCTATATATATATATATATATGTATATATATATATATACATGTATTATGTACACAGGACTATCGTGCCGCTAGAGGGGTCGACAGGCAAGGCGCCTTCTTTTTCGTTCAAGTACCGCGATCATAAATATGTCATCGGTAGGTTACTCCTGCTGAGAGGTCTTCGCGCATCTGTGGATATCTGTGAAACAGAGCGAGAACTCCCGCCAAAATCTCTTTGCATTCACTTGGAAAAAGTGAGATTTCGGCAAAAGTTCTCATTCTGTCTCACAAATATCAACAGATAGATACGCGTAGACCGCTCAGCAGAAGTAACCTACCGATGACACGTTTATGGTCTCGGCACTTGAACGGAAAAGAAGGCGCCTTGTATGTCGACTCCTCCGGCACGATCATCCTATATATATATATATATATATATATATATATAATAT